AATGAAAGTAATTATATATACTACATACTTATATTTTCTTTTTAAAAACACAATCAATTAAATTAAAAAACTATTAAAATTTTGATAGCTTTTATTTTTAATTGAGTTTTTAAAATAAAATAAAAAACAATACGTAAAAGTGATATTTAAAATAAAATAAATATACATGCCCTAAAAAAAAAAAATATGACTTATTAACAAAGCAATTCATCTTATCATAAAATTAACGGAGTTTTAAATAAATATAAAAAGTGGTATAAATTAGCTATTAATTTATTTTGGCCCTAAGATTCTACTGATTTAAATCTAACTAAAATCATTTGAATAAATGATTGAAATTAAAAAAATACATTTCATAAATGGACAAGAAAATAAATAATAAATTTTAATTAAAAAAAAAAAGATAGATATTTGAATTAAAATAATTTATTTTATACATATAGTCGAAACTATACAAGAAGTAAACGCTTACATATATAATATATATAAATATATATATATATATATATATATAATTTATTTTCAAATATTTTTCATTATATTATTTTTTTTAATTTTGATTTATTAAAAAAATTCTTAAATTGATTTTTTTTTATTTATTTTGTCTTTATATTTATAATATATTTGATTTTAGTATTTTTATAAAATTGAACAGATAATCAAAATAAATCCATCCTATTTTTAATATGAATATTATATAAAAATTAATTTTATATAATTTGTGTTTAATATATTAATTGATTAAAAAAAACATATTTTTTATTATTTCTATTTAGTTATTAAAAATATTTATTATCATTACAAAAAAATAAATATACTATGTTTTTTTTAGTTAAGACTTTAAATTTTAATTTTTTTATTATGAAAAAAACAAATATTACATATTTTTTAAATATTATAATTTTGTTAATAAATGAAATATAAATTTAAAATTTAGTTAATTCATTTGATAATAAATAAAGGTTTTGAAACCAAACGAGCCAAATTAAGAAAGTCCTTTGATTCATGCCATGCCAAAAAAAAGTGAGAGCTGGAAGACTTATTCTTATCGCGTTAGTATTTACTTATATAATTCTATTCCTAGATAAAATTATAAAAAACTTATAAAATTGAATTTAAAAGAAGAATAAATTTACAATTTGTTCTTAAAGACATAATATTTTTATTGATATTATTTGACATTAAGAAATATTAAACTTAATTTAAAGAATAAAAATCAAATACTAGAAAAATAAAATAATTTTTTTATAAATTAATTAAGTCAAAAAGATTATATTTATTTATAAAAAAAAAATTATATTAATTAAAATTACTGATTTATCATTACAATAGTTATTTATATTTTAAAAACTCTAAAATTCATAAATAATACTTATTTTAATTTACAAAAAATTGCATTATTTTGAAAAAAAATATTATTCCATTATATAAAATAACTAAAAATAAAAAAATTAATTAATAAAAAATATAAATAAAAAAATTAATAAAGAAAAAAAATGCTTAATAAAGAATAAAATTTCTTTACAGTAAAAGACGTTGCAGCAGCCTCATTTATTAGAGCATATGCTGACCACTTAAAAAAAGCAAACAAGCTTAAAGTTCCTTCATGGACGGAATGGACAACAACATCTACTGCCAATGAATTAGCTCCAACAGACCCTGATTGGGTTTATTTAAGAGTAGCTGCAATTGCACGTAAAGTTTATTTAAAACCTCATACTGGTGTTTCAACTTTAAGACATATTTTTGGATCAGTTAAAAGAAGAGGGTGCTTAAGAAACATCCACGAGCATGCACATGGTAAATTTATTAGATGGTCCTTGTAATAATTGGAAGAATTAAAAGTAATAAGAAAAGATAAAAGTTCATCCTTAAAGAAATTTTCAAGAATTATCACCAAAGAAGGAATGACTGAACTAAATAGAATTTCAACTTAAATTGTATTACATAATAAGGAAAAATAATAATAAAATTGAAGTTAAATAAATATATAGTGATTTTTATTAAAGAAAATTTTTGTTTAAAACATATATATTTATTTTTAATAAAAAGTAAATAAATACATAAAAAAAAATTATTTTATTTTTAGATTTATATAAATTTATTTTTAAATATAAAGTAAAAAACATATATTTTTTAATAATTATATTATTATAAAAAAATATTAATAATAAATATAATTTTATTAAATATTTTATAAAATGTATTTTTAAATAAACAAAAAATGATATTTATTATATTACGCTTTTATTAAATAAATTTTAAAATAAAGTTTTTATGATTTAGATTTTTTAATTGATCATAAACTTTTATTTTACTAAATTAAAATTACTTTAAAAAAGAAATACAGTTTCTAATTAGAAAACAAATTAATAATAATTTTTTTTAAAATCATTATAAAAAATAAAGCTATTTCTATTTAGAATAATATATTTATTTATATATTTTTTGTTAAAATATAAATTTTAAAATATTTTAAAACTTTATACTATAATTAAAATAATTATATAATATTATTTATCTTAAATAAAAAAATAACAAAAACAACTTAAAATAAGACATAGAATTTAAATATTAAATAATGAGCAAAGAAATAACATCTTAATTAGTAGAAGGAACATTAAATGTAACAAATTTAATAAATATAATTATTCATAATTTCATATTAAAATTAAAATAGGCATTAACTGGTAACAATAAATCTAATACAAATAATTAATAAAATTCAGCTGGTTGTTGTCCTTGTTGTACTTTAACGTATTAATTTATTATTATAATTTAAAATAAATAAAAATAGTTTTTGGAGAAGATACTTTGACGTAACAGAAGGAGACGTGGCAAAAAGATTAAGATCAGCATTATTTTTGACACCTTCATTTTGCGAAATCATGGAAGGACATCCAGATTTGTAAAATATAAAATTTTTATAATTATTTCTAAATATTTATAAATAAATTAAAAATTAAGATATGGACCATTTTGGATTTATACAACCATAGTTGTTATATTATCAATATCTTCAAATATTTGTAGTTATTTACATTTACGGGTAATAAAAACATAAAAACTAAAAATGTATTTATTTATATTATTTTTTATGAAAAAGGGATCTTAAACATTATTTAATTATGATTTTAACTTTGTTTCAGTAGCAGCGAGTTTAGTAATAATAATAAAATAAATATATAAAAAAATAGGTTTAAATAATTATATATTTATTTCTAGGTATATGGTATTGGTATATTGACACCTATTGTATTATGGTGTGTTGTTAAGTTATTATTTAAAGTAAAAATCAAACTTATTTAAACAATATGCTTATATGGCTATTCTGAAACTTGCTTTATTATTATTTCCTGCCTATTACTTATTCCAAGCACAGTAAAATAATAATATCAGTATATTTTAATTTTATAAAAAATAAAAAAGATTTTACAATGGGTTTTGATTGCTTATGGAATGATTGTTTCTTCAACGTTTTTCTTTAGAAATATAAAAAAGTAATATATATAATTATACATATTTACTTTTTTTAATTATCATTATATTTATTAATTAATATCAGAGAAATGGATGAATTAGATTCCAATTAAAAATATGTTGTTTTTGCTATTGTTTTAGGTTTTCAAAGTGTATTATGCTTAACATTCAAATTTTATTTCTTTAGATTAATTAAAATACCTGATACACCATAAAATTGATAAAATATTAAATTTATAAAATTAAATGTTATATTTATTTTCAAATTTATGAATAAAAATCATATAATTTTACAAAAAGTTTTTTTTATATTAAATTATTTTTTTATATAACTTTTATTATTTTTTTAAATTAATAAAAATATATTTTTTTATGAATTATAAAAATTTATCTAGTTTTTTTTTAAAAAATAAATTTTTAATGAGTTTAAATAATTTATAATACATTAAAAAAAATTAATATTTTATAAAAATGAGAAATAAATATAAATATGCGAATTTGTTTTCATTTTATATAATTCTAAAACTTATTTTAAATTAATTTTACTTATTAATTTTTATTTAAAATTTTCATTATACTAATGCTGATGCAGTGTTTGCATTGCTTTTTTAAAAATAATTAAATTTTTGAATAGTCTATAATTTTTTTAAAATTACTATTTCCAAGTAGGAGGAAGTTTTTAATTAAGTTTGTAATATCTTACCAATCTGTGTATTCTAGATTCAACAAGAATAACTCTGAATTTAGAATCTTTGTCTTTTCTATTTTTTTCTAAATGTTTTCTTATAGCAACTGCTTTTTTAATTAAACAGTGAAGATCTTCAGGAATCGAAGGAGCACAACCTTTTTTATTATTTATAAAAGTAAAATTTATGCATTTTTATATATTTAAATTACCATTTTTTTTCAAAATTCTTAATATTTTTTAGCCTGTTAAAAATCTTACTTAAGGAATACCATGCTAATCTCTAAGAATTACACCAACTTAAGATGGAGTAAGACCTTAATTTTTATTTTATGATTTTTTATTTATATTAAAATATTTTTAAAAAATAAAAAAAATAATAAATAAAATAACAAATATAATTTCTAAAATCATAATTTAATTTTTATATTTTTACCTTTTTTAGCTAATTTAACGATTAAATCAGATGCTTAAGAAGGACTCATATGGAGCCATTTCGGCGCTTTTCTTTTATAAGGTAATGCAGATCCGGAAATACCTTTTCCTTTTCCTTTCATTTACATGCGTCCCATTTTTTTTTTTTTATTATTTAAATTAAAATAAATATTTAATATTTTCTTTTTTTTAACTTTGTTGTTTGTTTATCAATTAATTATTTTAATTTTTTTATATCTTTTTTAATTTTCTCTTTTTATTAATTTTAAATAAAAATAATAATATGAATATTCTGTTAATAATAAAAAATGTTTAAATGATTACATTAAAAAATTTTCACTATAATATTCTTTTATCTATATTTATTACTAAATGAATTCATTAAATAAAATTGAAATTTATTTGTACTTATCTTTAATAAATAAAAAGTTAATTGAAAAAAAATATTCAATTATAAATTTGTAAGCATAATAAAAAAAAATATTATTTACATTTAATAGTAGTTAAGAAATTTAATTTATAAAATGTTTAATAGATAAATTAATTTTTAGATTATATGTATATATAGAATCATGAATAGACAAAATAAAATTAAAAAATTTGCATTGGCATTTTAATTATATATATAAATTCTATCATTAGAACGCAAATTTATTATATAAATTGAATTTTTTTATGAATAAAAAATTATATTTATTTTTAAATTTTTTGCAATATAAAAATAAAATTTTAGTTAGTAAATGTATTTTGTAAAAAATAAAAATTAATAAATTTATATTTTAATATAAATAGTAATAATTATATATATATATATATAAGAATTTAGTTTATAAAAAATATTTTTTAAAACATAATTAAAATCTATGTAATAATTCATAATAAAAAAAAAATTAATTTATTATATATAATAAAAATTAAATAAAAAAAAATTTTAAATTTATATAATATAAATAAAATCATATTTTTATTAAAATAATAAAAAAATTAATATCAATATATTTAAAAAATATTGAATATTAGTATATGTATAAAAAATAAAAAAGTTAAGAAAAGATTTATAATATTAAAATAAAAAAAGAAAATAAGAATATTAATTATATTATATAAATTAAAAAATATATATGATGAATATATAAAAAAAAAAATATGTATAAAAAAAAATAAAAATATAAAAAATAAAAAATAAAAAATAAAACAAAGTAAAAACAAAATAAAAAATAAATAAATAATAAATAAATAAATTAATTATATTATTTTTATATATATATAATTTACATAATTATTTATATATAAACTATATATTTAAAAATTATTTTAATATATTATATTTTTTATTTAAAAAATAACAAATTATTTTCTTTTTTTTATTATTAAGTTAAATTATAAATTTTTCAATTTTTTAATTTTATATAATATAAAATAATTTTATAATTTTTTTATAAATAATAAAAAAAATTTTAATGTATTTTGCAAATTAAAATTTTATTCTTTTTTCTTAAATATAATAAAAATTGCATTAAAATAATTTAAATTTTAAATTTTATTTTTTGAAAAAACTTGCTAAACTTGAATGTATTTAACCTATTAATTTAAAATGAAAATAAACTTATTTAAAAAATATCCAACAATATCCTAATCGAATAGCTGATGCCTAAACTTTAGTTTCTGCTAAGTATAACCTAAAATCGAAATTTTAGATGGCTGCTAATACATAAATATATAAAATAAATAAGAATATACCTAATTAATTTTTGGATGACCTAATAAATGTTATCGTTAACCTTAATAACTATTAAGTTAAAAAAATAAAGGGATATTTTTATCTTAATTTAAATATTTTGAGTCTCTTATTATTATATATTTATAAATTATTAAATATTATATAAATTTAAAATTTTACTCATAAATTTTTGATTATTTATTTAAATTAATTAAAAATACATATATTTTATTAAGGAAGTTAAAGTTTTACAAGTAAAAATTAATTCCCAATCTAATAAGAACTTTTAAAATATAGTGGAATAAGAATTAAAAAAAAATATAATATTAAAAATATACAAAAATCAACCTAAATCAATAGACTTAGCATGATTATATTCTATAGACTGTAAAAATATATAAAAATTGTTAGTTGAATTAGAATTCAAAGATTTAGAAAAATATTGAAACCAAAAGACAGCAACAATTTATGTTTCTGAATTTTATAAATTAAAAAAGGTAAAAACTAACGAATAAATATATGAAAACTATAGCACTGCATCACATTTTCTAATATGTATAAAATTTCATGAATCAAAATGTTTAGAAACAAAATGATTTATAGAATTTAGAGCTGTAGAGGTGTAATGGCTATTAGAGTGAAAGAGATTTTGAATATAAAGCTCAGTTCTCCTGAAGGTTATTTTATAAATTAGAAATTTAACTGGAATTAAGAGCATATTTTACTAAAAACTCTATTAAAAGAAAAGCAAAGAAGCAAATTTTGAAGATTATTTATTATGTGCTTAGTTTTAAGGAAAAGTTATGAAACTTTAGAGGAATTAAAGCTTAAGGAGGTATAAAAGATTATTTAACAACTTTCAAACATACTAATTTAACGTAAAATATCATAAGAAATAGTAGTAAGACATATTTCAGAATTGAAAATTAAAAATATTTAAAATTTGTAAAATTAAAATTATTTTATTTAAGATTTTTTTGTTTAATTTAACTTTATAAATTTTCTTATTATTTAAGTATTTAAATATTAATATTTTTTTTTTTAATTATATTTTAAAAATAATTTATTTAATTATTATTTTAAAAATAATATTTTTTTAATATAATTATTTAATTATTTAGTTATTTATTTTAAATAAAAATTATTTAAAGATAAAAAAATAATACAAATTTAAAACATTTAAAATTATTAAATAATTTGATGTAATCTTAATAAGAAATTGAATATGATATTGCGAATATAATTAAAGGTATAGCATTTTATGAAATTCACGTAAAATTTTACTTTATTAATAATTTTTATAAAAATAAACATAATTAAAAATCGAACATTTAAAGATTGAAAATTTAAAAATAAAAGCATGTGAAAATCCTAATTTTGATCCATTAGATGCATGGAATTGTATAAATATCAACAATTAAGAATATATAAATTAAGATTACATAAATAACTTTCCCTCGTAATAAAATAAACAACACTAAAATAAATATTTTATTTTAAAAATATTTCAAATAATAAAATAGTGCTAATAGGATTGCTTGTGGTCTAAAAGAATGTCAATATATAATAAATTTAATTTCTAGAAATGGAAAAACTTTATTAATTTGCAAGAGTAAAAATTAAAAAAATATTTTTTTTAATTTTAAAATTCAAAAATTCTAAAGATTTATAGATTTCATATTACCAAAAACAAACTAAGCCCTTCGAGAAATTTCTCTTTAAAAATAAAATAGAAATCGATTTTAAATATCAGATATAGTGCAAAGAACTTCTTCATTATTAGTATCAGAAATACTATTTAAAGAAATATAAGGTTTTAGAGAAATAGAAGATCTAAGGAAAAGTTTATCAAATCAATATAATATTTAGCAAATTTTTAAAATAGTGGATTATAAAGAAAAAGGAATTATAGATTATGTAGTGTAAATTAAATAAATAAAAATTTATTTCAAATTTTATTAATAAAAAAAAATTATAAAATTTATATTAAAAAAGTTTATCCTAATTTTTCAAAAAAAATGAAATAATATTTACTTAAGATGAATATGATGCTTTTATTTTTCGTACAACTTTAAATAATGATAATAAATTAGATTATGAAGAATTAATTCTCGCTTTACTTCCTTTAGATCCTTTTGTATATCCTTCATTTAAAAACAATTTCAATCGATCTAATTTGACATAATATGTATTATAAAAAGCTTAAGAATTCAAAGTCGATGTATAAAATCCTCCTTTTCCTAATTTTTAATAGACAAGCAACAAAAATAGAAAAAATAATTAAAATTTTAGAAGTTCATTTGATCGACATACTTAAGAAAGATAATCATATAATGTAGATTAAGGATATATGAAACAATTAAAATATTATAATTAAATTTATTATAAACCATGCAAAGATTATAGATATTTTTAAGGAAATTATGACTCATATTTAAATTTGAGGCATCATGATTAATTTTTTGATAAATATTACCAGTTTATATAAGAACGAGATAGAAATGAGTTTTTTTTTAATAGGTTTGGAAAAAGATATGCTTTTGATAATGAATTAGATTCTCTTAGAAATAAAATAAAATTCAGAAATGACATCAATAAAGAAGTTTATGAAAATTTTAATGATAATACTGTTAAACTTACTAACAAGCCTGTGTCTATTTTAGAAGAAAATAAAAACAGTAAAAATAATTTAAATAAAAATAAATTTAATAATAATTTTGATTATGACTTTGAATGAATTTTTATTATTTATTAAAACATTTATATTTATGTATTTGTTTTTTTACTATTAAAATTATATTTTTTTTAATATAAAAAAAAAACATTATAAATATTTATTTAAAAAAACAAAAATATAATAAAACTAAATTTATATCATTCAAAATTATAGATTTTTCTAAAAAAAATAAGTTTTAATAATTTGTTTCTTTGTTTTTAAATTTATTTCTTGAAAATTGATTTTCTTATATATTTTACATATTATTAGTACTATTTTTTATATTAATTTAAATTATCAAGATGTATCTATTTAAAATAATTAATTATTCATTAAATTATATATATATATATTACTTTATCTTATAAATGTCTTTATAATTACTTTTCATTTCCTATAAACTCTATATCACATAATCTACAAAAATTGGTTTTTTCTTAAATTTCCTTATATTAAATTTCTTTAAAATCTTAAGGTGTTACTTATAGCTTACCTTATTTTATTAATGCAGTTTCTCTTTGTTAATTAAATATTTCCAAAACTTCTTGGATTTCGTTTTCTTTTTCTAAAGTTCTAAAATGTTTTTGAATTCTTTTATACATTTCTAATTTTATATTTATTTTCGGCTAATTTAATTTAAAAAATATATATAAATAAAAAATAAGAATTAAAAAACAATTAAATATATACTAAAATAAAGTCTAAAAAACATAAAATAAAATATTATATAAAAATTATGATAGATTTATTTGTTTAAAAAAATTAAAGTTGAATGAATTCAGTAAATGAAGAATGTTTAACTCAGTAAGAAAAAATCAAAAATCCTTAGAAAAATATAAACTCAATTTTTATTATGAATTCATGAGAAACAATTTTTTTGCAACTTCATTGATTTTGATTTATTTGGATTTCAAATATCATAGATTATGCTTTTTTATTTTTTTAGGTTTAAAATTTCAATTTATTTATAGTTTTATTATTAATTATCTATTTTTTTCTCATTTTCACTATTTTATTATATTTTTTTATAAAAATGTAATAAAATGAATAAAAAAAAACTAAAAATAGTCAATCAAAAGATAGTAAGCATATTTAGAACGACTAAAATAAAATTATAATCAAATCATTTAAATCTAAAAGACTGTAACTATTAAGGTGTTTAGAAAAGATAAAAGTAATTTTTATTCTGCAAATAAAAATTTAATGAAAAAGAATTGTCTTTAAACGACATAAAAAATAAATTGAAAAACATATATTATAATTGCTTATTATTTGATATAAAGTAACAAACAAGTTTAAGAAATTCCTTCAAAATTAAAATAATAAAAATATTAATGGGAGAAAAAATAATAGAGACGAAATTTTCTTTTAAGATACTAAAAAATTATATAAAGAATAAAAAAAAAAATAATAAGAATAAAAAAACCTAAAAATTTAAAAGCAAGAGAAAAAGCAGAAATCGAATGGACAAAGAATAAAATTATCAAAAAAATAAAATAAATTTCAAAAAATAAAAAACAAAAAAATTAATTTTTATAATTATAAAAAGATAGAATCAAGAAATTAGTTAAAAATAAGATTTTATATATAAATATAATTCTAAAAATATATAAACAATTTATATTAATAAAAATATTATTATTAAAATTATTTTTTATTTAAATTTGTTTATATAATAAACTCATAAATATTAAATTGAATATATTTATATTAAAATAGTTTTTAAATAAAATTCAGAAAAAAGAAAAATAAAAGTAAAAAAATAATATATATTAAATAATAAAAATAAATAAATAAAATTTCATTATTTAATAATGCTAAATTAATAAAATAAGAAAAAAGTTTTGTAATTCAGAATAAAAGATAAAATAAATAAATAAATAAATAAATAAATAAATAAATAAATAAATAATTAAATAAATAAATAAATAAATTTTAATATATTTATTTTGAATATTATTTTAATTATTAATATACTTATTAGTAAGATTTTTAATAGATTAAATTATATTTTTTATTTTTTTATCTTAATATATTTATTTTTTTATTTTATTTTTTAAACATTTTTGTCAATATATAAGAGTTATTCTTTATATAATTATATATATAATTTTTTTTATATTGATTGATTTTTTTTTAATTTTCAAATTTTTAGATTTTTCAATTTTTTAAATTTTTACGTTTAAGTGTTTAATCAATTGCTTTTTAAATTAATAAAATATATTATAATCTTTTTTATATAGATTTTTATTAAAGGATAATATTAATGAATATATTTGTTAAATTTTTTTCAGATTTTATATTTTAATATAAATATAAATATCTTTAATTTAAAGCTATGGTTTTTAGTTAAATTTATTTTTAAATTTTAATAAATATTAGAGTTTTCAGTTTATTTGAAAAAATTTTCTAGTTCAGAAAAACAAATTGCTCCATCATAAACTTTTATTTATTATATGAAAATAAATAATAAATAAATAAATAATAATAATGAAATTTTTTTTTTTTAAAAAAAAAAGAAATATTAAATCTAAATATTGAAATAAAAAGATATTATTTTATATAAATAAATAAATAAAAAATTAATTATTAAATCATTCTTATTTATAGCCATTTTTGTCTCTTTCAACAACAAAAAAATCTTCTTCCTAATTATTTAATTCTTCAATTTAATCTAATAATTTTTCTCCTTTAGTTTCTTTTAAAGGAATTAGACATAAAACTCCTGCAATTCCTATAACTCCTAAAGGTACCATAGCTGATAAATTAATTCTTAAGCAAATTAGTTTAATATATGGGGCAGCTGTACTACCAATAGTTCCAGCTGCTGAACTAAATCCTAAAGCCAGATTTCTGACAGCTGTAGGAAATAGTTCTGTAATATAAATATAAACAATAGTCCATACAAAACAAATAATAAATCTCATAATACCAGCGACAACAATTTATAGTATTTTTTAATAACATATTTTATCTCCAGAACAACTATCGGGTATTTTAATAAAAATAAATGAAAAAGAAAGTAAAGTAACAATTGTTAGACCAATAAAGCTAAGACGTTTTCTTTTAATAGATGGAATAAAATAATTTGTAATAGAATAAGAAATTAGTTCACAAATTCCTATAATAATTGAATTTATATAAATATTAAATCCAACAGATGTTATAGCAAATGTAATTCCATAATAAATCATCTGTATTGTCAAAAATACAATTGCACAGCAAATATTTTTTACTCTCAGACTTTTATATTTAAATAAATCTATAATAGAATAAGAAATCTTTTAATTATTTTTAATCACACTTTATAAAATATTAATTTATAATGGATTTTTTTTATTAACTTTTGCTATTTTATTTAACACTTAAAGTCCTTTTTAAGTGTTTTATTCATGTAAAAATTTAGGTGACTCATAAATTAAAAACGCGCCAAAATTTAATAAGGTTATAGGCACAAGAAAAGTATATAAAATCAAACTTCTCCAATAAGGCATTAAATAGGCTATTAAAACTAGGAAACACTCGCCCAAAGCATATACTACTTAAACCCCTATAGATGTATATTCCCTAAATTTGCCCAAAGAATGCTCATTTAGAAAGGAAAAATGAATAGTAATAGCCGGATTAGCCCCCAATCCTTACAAGAAAAGTCCTATAAAGCAAAAAGCAAGGTTCTTATTAGTCGTAGCAATCAAAACAGTACTTAAAGTGGCAATAAGCCAGCTTATAATCAATGCATTTTTCCTTCCTTTATTATCAGCAAACCAAGAAAAAACAAAAAACCCAATTAAACTTCCCAAATAAGTCATAGAACTCATAATCGTATATATATATGATCTATCACAAACTAAAGGAGGATCATAATAAAAAATAAGCGAATTTTAATTAAACTTTATATAATCCATAAAATTCTCTTAATCACAAACCCAATCCTAAGTACAATCTAAAGAAAATTTTAACCCTTTACAATCATATTCAGGATCCATAAACACGAAATTAGATTACATTAAAATCATAGCAGTAAAAAACCATTGTAATGAAAACCATAAAAAAGCACGGAATTAATACCAATTCGCACTTCCTACTTCATCTAAAGCTTCCTCAAATGTTATTTTAGATATATTTTTTTTTTAATGTAAATTTGAGGTAAATGAAACATGAAGTTAATTATTATCTTACACTGATATAATTTCAGAGTAGCTTGGATTAATATTATTCATAATTATTTTTATTTTAGATATTAAATAAAATAAATAAAATAAATAAATAAATATATATATATATATATATATTTCTATATATATATATTTATAATTTTTTTTTTATATTATGATTTACTTTTATACATATATATACTTTTTTTTATTTTAAAATAATAATATATAAATAATTCAATTATTTGCCATATTTATATATTAAATTTTTTCATCCATTTTTTTATATATATATATTTTTTTTTTAGTCATTAATTTATCTTTTAAAATACTATTCTTTTATAAAATATTTTAATTTTTTATTCTATTATTTTTATATAATAATTTAATTTAATTTTTCTTCTTCAATATTATGGTGTTTATTTAATAAATTATTTTAGATCATTTGCAAGGTTTAATACTTTTTAATTTTTGTTTTCTAAAAATTTATATTTATTGGCTTTATTATTTATTTTTTCATCTATTACAAATGTAAAATTAAATTATTATAATGATAATAGCTTCTATAATAGCTCTTTTATCCTCTCTTTTTTTGATATTATTAATTTTTGTTGGTTAACCCATAGATTATTTTTAATATAGGTTCTTAAGTGAATATATTTACTATCGCAAACATATATATATATTTAAAATGAATTTTTTAATATATATTTATGATTTATTTATCTTTTTTAAAATTATTAATTTGTAAACAAACTAAATAAACAAATTTAATACTAATTCGGTATTTATTATATTTATAATTAGTTTATTTGAAAATTTTACAATTATTAATTGTTTGATTTGCTTTTCTTTCATTTTCTCTGTGTTTTTTTTTTGTCAACTAATTTTTTTTTAAATATAAAGAAATATAAAAAAAATATTTTAATGTATTATAATAGGTAATTATATTTATATTTTGATTATCTTAATTATTAAAGGTATTTAAAATTATGATAAGGCATACTATGCTTCTTTTCAGCATGAATAAAAAAGAAAATATTTTCCTCTACATTTTATTTTTTAAAAAGATAAACATATGGCTATTTAAAATAATAATTAAGGAGTAATTTTTTTCTGTTTATTCTATCGCTGTTTATTTATTTTTAGATATATTAATATAGTTATTTAGTTATTATTAACTTATTAACTTTATTTTTTATTAAATATTTTTAAATTATATGTATTTCGTATATAAATTTAAAATAATTATTTTCTGTATATAATTTTAATTAATAATCAAATAAAAGTTTATTAATTTATAAAAATAAAAATAAATATTTCTTTATAAAATTAAAAAAAAACTAAATGAGCATTAATTAATTTTTATTAAAGTAATTTTATTCTCATTTTGTATAATATTTATTAACTGATTATACTTAAGTGAGTTTAACAAGTATATTTAATTTATAATATAAAAAAGATAAAATTGAAATATAATAAATTGGCAATTATTAAAATATTTTTTAAATAATATTAAATATTTTAAATTATTAAAAATTAAATAAATTATATATGAATTTTTTTTAAAAAAAATAAAATATAAATATAAATATAAATATAAATATAAATATAAATATAAATATAAATATAAATAATATCATTTATTTTATTTTTATTTGTATTTATACAAAGTAGATCATAAAAAGATATTAGAATTTTTTATACTTTGATTAATTTTTTTTTATATTTTCCACAAATTTTAAATTTTTAATTTTTGATAAAGACTAAATATTATGTTTATATTTGAATTGTTTTTAGCACTTAATTTTTTAAATATAATTTTTTTTTTTGCAGTACATTATCTATTTTAATCTGAAATTTCTCTTAATTATTCTAATTCCTCTTTATTTTCCACATAAATATAAAATTTACTTTATATTCCATCATATTTTATTGCTTAATATAGCATTTTTAAAACTTTATTAAAAATATATGTTATAGTTTAATTATATACACATATAAAGCCGTGTGTTTCTTTATAATGATTTAATCTCATTGCTGATAAACACCCTTTACAGGCTGTATCCCGTATTTTTAATTTTATTACCTTATTATATATTTCTAAAGTTTTTATTTTAAAATAAACTTTAATTGTTGAAATATAAGTTTCGCTGAAATCTTAATTTATATATTAATTTAATATCGAAGTTTTCGCAGAATTAGAAGGTCCTATTAGTATTATTTATAAAACCCTGGTATAATGATCTCCCTATAAAAAATTTTTTTGATTAGGTTTAAGAAAAAGCAAAACTATTTGAACATGTTATGGATAATTAGGCAGTTTAGCAAAAGATATTTTCAAAAATTAATTTTATTTTGGTCTATGATACTCAAATTATGTTATTTTAAATATATAATCTATTGTATTTTTAATTTTTATTTTTTTTCAAAAAAAATGTGAATAAAAAAAATTATTAATAGATATTAAAAAATAAAATAAAATTATAATTTATAAATAAATTAAATTTTAAAAATATTTTTATTTATAAATATAATTATATTTATATTAAACTATTATATTTAAAATAATTCTAATAGTTCATACTAATTTTTATTATTATTTTTATCTATTAAAAAAACAATAACGTAATTATTTAATTTTAAACTCATCCTATCATGATCATTCCTCTTAATCAATTTTAATTGCTTTATTAAATTCAAATTTTAATTGGTTTTTATTTTATATAAATCCCCTTCTTCCATGTCAACTTATTTATATAATTTAATATAAACTAATTATTTTAGATGCAATGTATTTTTAGAATTGAAATGGTTTACGAATTTAATTTCGAAAATCTAACTATTATTATTTTCTAAAAGCTTAAAAATATCAAATTAAAATTAATTTACCAAAATTTTATTATTTTTTTGTCATGCAATTTAGATCATTTTTTGAAATACAAAAAAATTATCCAAAAAAATAATTTTTTTAAAAAATAAATTTTAAAATTCGTATAATAAAATTTTATTAGCAGTATTAATAAAAAATTAATTATATTTATGATTTTATCTAGATAATATAAATTAGTTTAAAAATTCAAATTTAAAAGAAATAATCTATTATTATATTATTTTTTCTATATTTTTTTAAAAGAAAAATCAAAAATAAATAAGGAAAGAATATATTGATAATAATGACCTTTTTGTTTATTGAGTTTTTTATTAAAAATAAAATAAAGAAAAACAATAAGAAAAGGTAATATAATAAATATATTTATATCACTCATTAAAGTTTAAAAATATTTTTAATAAATTTACCCTCGAAAAACTTGATTTTTATATTTTTTGAGGGCATGCAGGTTATAGAAAGGTTTTAAATGTATGTATATAAATATATATTTGAATTTTCATATAAATATTATTTCACTTCTTATACTTAGATACTTTTTACTTTTAATTTTTTATAAATTGTTTTTATTTAAAAAATAAAATAAAAATCATTGTTTTTATACTAAAAAATACATTTAAATTTTATATGAAATAAAAATATTTATAAAATAAAATTAAATTAAATAAAGTTTCGAGAATATAATAATATTATCATACTTCTCCATACAATTTAAGTACTACATTTTTACATATTTCACTTATTTTTCTTTAGTCTAAATGAGGATTTTTCATCTTTGCTATTTTTTAAATCCCAAGCATTTATTATTTATCATAAATTTTATACTCTAAAATAGCATTTAGAATTTGTTTTTTTAACTCTTCATAAGGATTATATCCACTAATATTGTTATTAATACTAACGTAAGGGATATTAATATTATTTTACAAATTTAAGTTTTCATTATTTTTATTTTAAACACTCTAAAAGCATTCACTTTATTAATTTTGAAAAGCTTCTGAATAATCTAAAATATTCTAATCTTAAATGCTTTGAGAAGGTTTAGCGAATCCATATATATAATCAATAGAATATCTATCTTAATTATTAGAAGAAGTAAAAGGTCGTTTTTTATTTGGGCTAAAAAATGCACTATATTAATGTTTTGAAG